TCGTCTCTCTCCGGGGGAAGGGGCTCACACATGCCCCCCCCCCCAGTCTCTCTCCGGGGGGGCTCAGAGCTGCCCCCCTGGCTCTCTCCAGGGTGGCAGAGGGGCTCAGACGTGCCCACCCCTCCACACCGTGTCCTCTGTGAGGCCCAGCCCCAAGGGTCACTCCCTGGGGCGAAGTGCTCACACCAGGGGCACTGGCAGTGCAGAGAAGAGAAGAGAAGTGACCTATCCCACCTGCCTCTTGCTGGAAAGGATACAAAGCACTCTCCAGTCCCACCCCATCTCTGAAGTCCTACATGGAATCCCTACATAGAATTATCTGCCTTAGAGCCGAAAGCAGCAATAACCCTTGTAGAACGTGATCTGTTAGGATAAAAAGAATGGTGGGCCTTGATTCTCTCCTGAGATCAGTTTTATGCTGGTGTACATATCCTGATTTCAGCAGAGTTACACCAGACCAAGGTAGAGAAGAATCAGGCCCCAGGTCCTTCACATACTTCAGTGGGAAGAAAAGGGAAGGTGGTAGCATCCTGTACTCTTTACAAATGAAAATTTAACACATTTATGCTTGTGTTAAAAACACGGTATTCCCCAAAGGTACAACTCTAGTTCTGTGCTATTAGTTTCAGTTGAGATGACTGGTTCTCTCTGGATCTCTAGATATGTCGTTGTCAGCCTATAAGCGACTTTGCCAAATATCCTGAAGCTTGTAGCCAGGTAGACACTTTTATTCTGGCTCATTTGTCTTTCTTGATCTGGGTGACTCTTGTACACAAAAGAAAGTTGCACAGGTTTAACTTCAAATGGGAATGTAGACAGCTATGTAGACACTCTTCCTTCAGTTAGAGTGGCTTATTTGTTCTTCACTTAAATTGATTAGAAATTTAAATTTAAGATAAACCAAAGTGATCCACTCCTAAGCTGAAATAAGTATCCGCACAGCTTTTTGCACCCATGTAACTGTATCTATTTAAAAACTAAATTAAATCTGTAATTTTCTTGGGTAGACAATAGGACTGGTTGAAAGATGTCCATCAAAACTGTTTTTTTGATAGAAATTTTTTATGAAAAGTCTGCTTTCTATGGAAATTTTTGAATTTTCATGTAAAACGTTTTTGTCTGAAAACATGTTTCTAATTTATTTTCATCAAAATTTTCCACAACTCCCCCATTTTCCAACCAGCCCTACTAGACAAACCCTAACCTCAAGCTCTTTCATGTATTTGCATCGCTCTTTCATGTCACCAGATGTCACTCTGATTCCATATAATGCAACTTTCATTCATTTAATATGTGATTAAAGATTTTCTATTAGGGACCTGCATACCTCTCAGCTATCAGCATTGCATCCGACTTATTACTTCACATAAATGTGGTAGGCTTTTTTGTACCAAATAAAGTGAATCAATTTTTATATGCCTTTTTAGCATTCCACATAACAAATCATAACTCACATATAACATACACATAGAAGCACAAAACCCTTTTATATAAAATGAGGTTAAAAGCATGGTAGTTATGACTGGTGATGAAAAGAATGCTCATTTTTTCACTTCAGAGAAAAAACAGCCATCAGTTTTCTACCCTGCTTAATTTAATTTCCATTTCTGCTGCACGAATTTAAATGCTACTACACTGGGTTCTGCGATAAAAGTCTGTCTTGCCTAGTAAGTGACTTTAATTTATTTTCTAAATCAGTGGTTTTCAACCTGTGGTCTGCGGATCCCTGGGGATCCACAGACTATGTCTAAGGGGTCCATAAAAGGTGA